CAGCACAGATGACCTCCGCAGCCAGCACAGATGACCTCCGCAGCCAGCACAGATGAGCCCCGCAGCCAGCACAGATGACCTCCGCAGCCCAGCACGCCTTTTGAGTATAAGCAGGCACATCTCTGGGGCGATGGAAGTGTTCTAGAGTTAGATGGTGGTGAAGATTGCTCACCTCGGGAATATACTAGACACCACTGAATTGTACACTTATAAAATGGTGAATTTTATGGTATGCAAATTTTATTTCCATTTAAAAAATGGGTATATGTCAACAAAAAGCAGACACCAAAAAAAAAGCAGACAAACTATGATTCCATTTAAAAGAAACCCCCAAACAGGCAGACTTAAACATTCATGGACGTAGTTATCTTGTAGGGGGAGTATTGATGGGGAGGAAACACGAAGAAGTCTTCAGCTGACAAATGTTACACGTGTTGGTCTGGGTGGTGGTTACATGGACGATACCATGAAAATTCATCAAGCTGTACAATTCAGATTTGTGCACCTGACTATAGGCAAGTTATGGCTCATAGAAAAAAGTAAAATGCTTTTGAAAAGCTACCCTGCCCTGGCTGTAGCAGAAGTGTTGGTTCAGCTCTGGTTCTGCTCTCTGCTCCCTTCCACTTTGTCCCCCATAGCCTTGGTCTCACCCTCTGAGGGACACAACCTTATCCTGTGTGGCCCACCTTTCATGGGTACTGCGCAGTACTCATGCCGATGAGGATTGGGGCCTGGACGTGGCCTGATAGAGTCGTCTTAGATTGAGTGCCCTGGAGACAGACTGAACTGGGGAGTTGTGTCCAGCAGGCTCACTGGAGAGAGCTCTCTGGGAATAGAGCTGGAAGGAAGGCAGGGTTGGGCAGAGGGAGGAGCTGATCCCAGTAGAGTTCTTGGTTGGGATGACCTTCAGAGTTGTTCCTAACTGGTGCAAGGGGACTTGGCCTTTGGATTCAGGTTGTCAGCCAGTCATGCACTGTGGGTGTGGTCCTCGGCAATCTAAGGTTGCCTCTCAAGATTCCCAACCGGTAGTGTGCACGTACCTTCCCCCAATTACTCATTCAAACACTAACTTGTGGCTCTGAAGGGAGTGTGCAGGTGTGATTAAGGCCCCAAGTCAGTTGACCTGAGGAGATTATCCAGGTGGGCCTGATCCGATCACGAAAGCCCTTTAAGAGCAAGGTGTTTTCTCCAAAAGAGAAGTCAAGTTTTGAAGCATACCATCCAGTGCACCATTGCCGGCTTGAAGGTGGAACACCCCACGGCAAGGAATGCAGGCAGCCTTTAGGAGCTGAGCGTAGCTCCTGGCGGGCAGCCAGCAAAGAAACGGTGACCTAAGTCCTACCATCATGAGGCACTGAGTGCCACGAGCCATCTGAATCAGTCTGGAAACATTCCCCCAGACCTTCCAGATGAGCACTGCAAGTGTAGTTTGTATGCCTGAGCAGAGGACCCTGACCAGACTGAGACAGTAAACGTATGCTGTTTTAAGAGGCTGAGTTTGTGGTTATGCAGTAGTGGATAGCTAATAAAGTGGCCTTCCCCTGGGAGAGGGCATAGCCTTGGGGAAGTGCTCCCTCTGCATGAAGGCACGTCCCTGCATGATAGTCCCCAGAGCTAGAGGGGGATGGGTGCCTGGCCCTGTAGTGGGGTCTGGGCAGAGCACCACAGTGACCACATAAGGGTGAATAATCACAGACTTTTTTCTTGTGAAAAAAATGTATTTTGTAAATATTGAAGTATATACCGTATATTCAGTAAAGAGCCCAGGTCTGAAGCTATAGCTCAATGCATTTCTGAAGTAAACACACATGTATAACTCCAATCACAATGTAGAAGATCTCCAGAATCCCCAAAGCCCCCTTGTGCCCGTGCTAGACATTACCTTCCCCCCTAACAATAATCACTATTTCAATTCCGTCAGCATGGATTGCTTTTTATGGACTTTGTATAAATGGAATCATATGGTACACTGTTGTGCCTGGCTTCTTTTGCTGAACATCACATCTGTGAGATTAGGGTATGCTTTTGCGTGTGGCGATTGTTTGTTTTTCATTGCTATATATTATCGTTATGTAAGTATTCCTCAGTTTACCCATTCCCAAGTCGATGGATATCTTGGTTAAGTTTAATAAGTGCTATGAGCAGACTCCTACAGGGTAGGCTTGTGGTTTCTTCAACAATATACTTTCCTTAAAAATGTGATGCAGTTCTGGGCTGCCTGCTTTCTAGGAGCTCCACGTGCAAGAACCACAACCTCAGCTCTGGTTTTTAAACCTGCAGAGTCCTTTTTGTACTGGCTTCTGTGCTGCCCCCCCCCCCCTCATTTTTTGGCAGTTACCCTCTGATATCTGAAACTGTAGGACTTGGGTAGGAAGGTAATACCCATTACCTGAGCTTACAGCTGGGCAGGCTCCCACTGTCTGGTAAGATCCCTTAATGAGAAGACTCGAGAGAGAGGCGGTTGGCTTTTCTAATCCTATGAGATCCTAAATGAATTCTCATACTCTTTACTGATAAAATGCAGATGTTTTAGAGAGAGTTCCCTTATTAGAGCCGTATTTTATTTTCTTTCTGCTTACAAATGGGCTGATTCTCATTAAACTTCATTTATTTTATGGTATTTTGCTCTAGAAGCATGAAGAACTAGCCAACGCAGGCCAGCATTCTGGCCTCCTACCCACTTTCACTAGAGTTAACTATGAGGTTGGTGGGTAGACATACAGTTTGCTTTCCAGTTTTACCAAATTCTTTGCCATGACATGCTAATATTAATTTCCTTACTGCCTGACTACTAAGCCAGTACCACGTTTTAGATTTTTTATTATGTTTTTACCCCACTGCAAGGCACCAGTTTTGTAGTCGGGTATAAGCTAAACTACAGTAAAAATACATAGGTGCAAATGAGATAGTTGATTGCTTACATAGTCCAGATGAAGGTGGGTGGTCCTGGGTAGGTCAGTACTCTGCTTTTCAAGATGATCCAGGGAACAAGGTTTCTTCTATCTTGTTTGCTCTGCCATTGCCTTGGGTGTTGCTTTCCTTGGTATGTTCAAAACTGGTTGACCAATACTTCCTGCTGCTCTCCAGGCCATAGGAAGGCAATCTGGCAGAGGTGGATTGTGATCTGAAAGGTGCCAATAGCCCAGTGACCAGATTCAGACAGTGTGGAGGACTGCTGGCAGCTCTTAGGCCCCATTAGGCAAGGAGTTATCAACTTAAAGAGAGCTCGGTCTGCAACAATGCAGACAGCGGGAAGCAAGCTGAATTTAACCAGATCTGGGGTTTTGTCATGCAAGTATGTTAAAGGAAGAAAAGGGCAAGGAGTTAGGATTAAATGCAAGAAGATGGTTGTGACCTAAAATTAGTATAATATCATAGACCATGGGAGCTAAGCTGGGTAAGGAGGAAAGGGAGGACAGGAAGAAGTGAGGGACAGTGAAAAGGAGGTAGGATTTATGAATTTTGTATGTCTCTGGAAGAAAATGTCTTGATTTTTTAAGTCAATCCAAACCATGTCCCTAATCAGCAGTTGGGGGATTAGGCTTATGAGTAGGTGTTACCTGGCACCCATCTAGGACCCAGTGAGGGTCAGAGGACTTTTATATACCAGAGGCCAGTCTGCCCCCTCGAGCTGTATGTGTTAGAGGTGGAACCACAGAGAATCTTTCCTAAGTGGGAACGGTTGATAAGGGGTGAAATGAGAGCCGTGAATAACAGTATACTGGGTCAAGCATACCGGGCAGAGGAAACACCTTTCTTCCACTTCTTGGATACGTGTTCTATCCTCTATGTTCCAGCAATTCCTTTTTGTTAATAGTGGGGAAAAGATGATCTTTTTATTCTCTTGTTTCAGATTCTAAAGTAGCAACTGGTGACACAAAGGTGATTCAAAGCCTGAATTTCCAAGGATGAAAATTCTTATCAGATGATGTCAGAAAAACTTCCAATGATGCAGCCCTCAGCCCCTGAGTCTGGGGAAGACCCTGAACTCAGATTAGGGGAGCTATTGGGAAACCCAGAAGGGCAGAGCCTGAGGAATTCCCCCTCTCAAGAGGCAGGTTTTAGACAGGTGACAGTTACCCATTGGAAAATCCAAACGGGAGAGACAGCCCAGATGTGTAATAAATCAGGAAGAAGTCCAATTCTGAACTCTAACCTTCTTATACTTCAGAGAGAGCTTATAGAAGGGGAAGCCCATCAATGTGATACTTGTGGCAAAAGCTTCACATTTCATTCGGACCTAATTAGACATCAGCTTTCTCATACTGGGGAGAAACTTCATAAATGTGATCACTGTGGGAAAGGCTTCAGTCAAAGCTCACACCTTACTGAGCATCAGAGAATTCACACTGGAGACAGACTCTATGTATGTAATGTGTGTGGAAAAAACTTCATTCACTATTCAAATCTTATGGAGCATCAGAGAATACACACAGGAGAAAAACCATTCAAATGTACTCAGTGTGGGAAAGCCTTCTGTCACAGCTCAGATCTTATTCGACACCAGAGAGTTCATACCCGAGAGAGACCTTATGAATGCAAAGAATGCGGAAAGGGCTTCAGTCAGAGTTCATTACTTATTCGACATCAGAGAATCCACACAGGAGAAAGACCCTATGAATGTAATGAATGTGGAAAGTCCTTCATTCGGAGCTCAAGCCTTATCCGCCATTATCAGATCCATACAGAAGTGAAACAGTATGAATGTAAAGAATGTGGAAAGGCCTTCCGGCATCGATCAGACCTTATTGAGCATCAGAGAATCCACACTGGAGAGAGACCTTTTGAGTGCAATGAATGTGGGAAAGCCTTTATTCGGAGTTCAAAGCTTATTCAGCATCAGAGAATTCATACCGGAGAAAGACCATATGTATGTAATGAATGTGGAAAACGTTTCAGCCAGACATCCAACTTTACTCAGCATCAGAGAATTCACACTGGGGAGAAACTCTATGAATGTAATGAATGTGGGAAAGCATTCTTTCTGAGTTCATACCTTATTCGACACCAGAAAATTCACACTGGAGAGAGAGTATATGAATGTAAAGAATGTGGGAAAGCCTTTCTCCAGAAAGCCCACCTTACTGAACATCAGAAAATCCACACTGGGGAGAGACCTTTTGAATGTAAAGACTGTGGGAAAGCTTTCATTCAAAGCTCAAAGCTTCTTCTACATCAGATTATTCATACTGGAGAAAAACCCTATGTATGTAGTCATTGTGGAAAAGGCTTTATTCAGAGGTCAAACTTCATTCAACATCAGAAAATTCATACTGAAGAGAAACTCTATGAGTGTAGTCAGTATGAAAAAGATTTTAATCCAACCCCAAACTTTAAAAATAATCAAGGTGTTCACCAGGTGGGACTTGACTTGAATAAGGCCCCCATACATTTGGGTGAGGAGTCTATATGTCAGGGGGAACATACAGATAACTTATAATTATTCTCCAACTCAATGAGTGATCCTTGGAAATGAGTGTTCTGAATCATAATTCATATGGCTGTTTAAGATTTGGATGCATCATAATTTCCCATAGTCACAGATGGTACTGCTTTTGGAGCGAGCACCACCTGTACCACTTTGCATCAGTACTGGGCTTCATTACTCTTCCTCAGACATGAATGCTTGTCCTCAAGAAAGCCACATGATTTTCCAACTGACTTTGAGCTGGAAAAATGGGGGAGATGGGACAGGTCAAGAGATTTCTGTATTTCATAATTGCAATCATCCTTGAGTTATGTCCCTTTTAGAGTGGAACTATGTATCTAATTAAGAGAGTATTGCCTAGCAAATTCTGGTTTATCAAAAAGGCAGTTTGGAGAATGATACTTTCTTATTTAAAACCACTTGCTGGTCCCCTGTTGACCTTAGGATGAAGTCCAAGCTCCCTAGCATGCATCCTGAGGCCTTCTGCTTCCTCGATCTCATCTCCCACTGCTTAACTCCCTGCCACAGAGTTGATGCTCTGGCAACACTAAATGTGTAATGTTTCTCACATCCACCAACCTCTCTCCTACCTCCCGGCCTTTGTCCTTGTTGAAGGGCCTTCTCACCTCATTAACGTGTACTCATTATTCAAGACTCATCTCAGGCATCATGTCAAGGAAATTTTCCCTGAAACTTAGCTAGGGTCCCTTCTTCAATGTTTCCGTGCTCAATGCCTGCCTCTGTTACTGCACTTACTGTGATATGTCAGAATTATGTTTTTATACACAATCTCATTAGGCTATGTGTTCCTTGAGGACAGTGATCATGCCTGATTCATTTATGTGACCCCAGTGCCTAGCACAAAGGCAATAAAAAACACACCCCAAAATCTATGTGTTATTGACTCTCTTCATCATTTCTATAGTTTTTAAAATTTCTGGGTGTGTTTTGTATCGGTACAATCTCCTGTTCTGTTAGAAATATCTTTTTTCTTAGCCCTGTGATATCTTCTGTTCCTACATAGCTCAGAAACTACAGGCAGTAGCCAGTATGAGATTAGTGTTCCTCATATTTATTGCCTTTAGACCACACCCATAACTTCACTTGTGTTAGAGAACATCGTCTTGACTTAGTTGTCATTGAAGCTTTGTAACCCACTCAAGGTGCACATAATTTCTATGAACTGTATATCTTTTTTCTGTCCTAGCGGGAAAAAAATGATCGAACACAACTCATTCTGTCACTTTCCCTACTCTCTGGGTTGCTTTATCACTCATTTGAAAATGAGTTGATATCTGCAAGGACCCATGCTAGATATTGGGAAAGGAGAGACGGGTAAGACACCAACCATCCTCAAGTCATTCAGAGTTTAGTGGGGAAGACAGAAAGATCACAGTACGAGTTAGGAGTTGAAATAGAAGTGGTTTTGAGTTCTGTAGGAGCATAGATAAGGAAGTTGCTAATTTGGCATGGAGGATCTGGGAAGGCATCACAGAAGAGGTGACATTTGAACTGGTTTAGAGATATGAGTAGCATTAGCTAGAGAAGAATGATCTGGAAGGGGGACCTGTGTGCAGAGACAGGAAGCATGAAGGTCCCTCTTTTGGCAGGACTATTCGAAAACAACTTGTGTGATACAGCGGATAACTGCCAAGCAAAACTATTAGTCTTTGCCTCTGGATTTCTTTCCCTGGAATATTAACCAGAACAATCAGTTCTGAAAGATAAAAAATAATTTCTTCCCATAAGGGATATTTTGAGTTCTTAAATTCCAGCAACCCTAGAAGCTTTGAGGGGTTCTTGCCTTCTGGAAAACTCATCATTACCATAAATGTTTTAAATGACATAGAAGCAGGTGTTACCAGACCATTTTTATACGGTAAAACACCCATCTTAAGTATGAAGTTTTGAGTTTTGATAAATGCATACATCCATGTAACTGCCACCAAAATTACGATAGACAACATGTTCATCACCCTGAAAAGTTCCCTGTGCTGTTTCTCAGTCAATCCCACCCCAACCCCAGGTAACCACTAATCTGATGTCATGGTAGGCTAGGTTTGCTTGTTCTAGAATTTCATGTAAATGAAATCATACAATATGTATTCTGTGTCAGATTTCTTTGACTCAGCATGTTTTTGAAATTCATCCAAGTTGTTACATGTTTGAGTAGTTCTTTGCTGAGTAGTATTGCATTGTATGAATAAACCATCATTTGTTTATTCATTTACCTTTTGATGAACATTCGGGTTTCTGTCTTCCCCACTAGACTATTGTGAATAAAACTGAGCATTTCTCTAAAGGCGTGTGGACATACGTTTTTATTTCTCTTGGGTAGACATAAATAAATGAAGAAGTATACCATGTTCAAGAATTGGAAGACTTAGAATTTTTAAAATGTCAATTCTCCCCAAATCAATCTGTAGAGTTCAGGAGGCTTTTTTTTTTTTTTTTTTTTTTTGGTAGGAGTTGACAAGATGATTCTAAAACTTACATGACAATGAATAGGACCTGGAATGTCTAAAACAATTTTGAAAAAGAACAAAATTGAAGCAGATACATTACCTGATTTCAATACTTATGATAAAACTATGGTAATCAAGACTGTGTAGTATTGGGGTAAAGATAAGACACCTAGATGAGAGGAACAGAATAGAGTCCAGAATAGACCACCTATATATGGTTCAATTTTTATAAAGGTATGGAGGTTTATTCAGTGGGGAAACGATAAGTCTTTCAACAAATGGCACTGAAACAACCAGATATCCTTATGGATTAAAAAAACTAACTTTGATCCTTACCTCACACTGTACACAAAAATTAAGTTAAAATGGATCATAGATCTAAATGTCAAAGCTAAAGCTTTAAGATTTCCTAAAAGAAAAATAGGAGTCCTGGTGGTGCAGTGGTTACAGTGCTCAACTGCTAACCAAAAGGTTGGCGGTTCAAAACCACCAGCAGTTCTGCACGAGAAAGATGTGGCAGTCTGCTTCTGTAGAGATTTACAGCCTTGGAAACCCTATGGGGTTGCTATGAGTTGGAATTGACTTGGCAGCAGTGGGTGGTGGGGTATATGGATATATATGTATATATATCTTAGTTATCCAGTGCTGCTATAGCAGAAATACCACAAGTGGATGGCTTTAACAAACAAATTTATTTTTTCAGTTTAGGACGCTAAAAGTCTGAATTCAGAGCACCAGCTCTAGGGGAAGGCTTTCTCTGTTGGCTCAGGGGGAAGGTCCTTGTCTCCTAAGCTTCTGTTCCCTAGTTCCCTGGAGATCTCCATGTGGCTTGGCATCTATCTTCCCCCATCTCTGGTTGCTTAATCTGCTCCTTTTGTATTTTGTAAGAGATTGACTCAACACACACCCTCCACTAATCCTGCCTCATTAATGTAACAAAGACAACCCATACCGAAATGGGATTATAACCACAAGCATACCCATTGCCATGAAGTTGATGCCAACTCAGCAACCCTATAGAACAGAGTAGAACTGCCCCATAGGATTTCCAAGGAGCAACTGGTGGATTCGAACTGCCAACCTTTTGTTTAGCAGCTGAGCTCTTAACCACTGCAACACCAGAGCTGATCTAGCCACAGGCATAGAGGTTAGGATTTACAACACCTATTTTGGAGGGGACACAGTTCAATTACTGTATATATATATTACATATATTACAAGTTTCTATTTTTTAGAAAGTCAAAACATACATTTTCTCACTAGTTTTCAATTTCATTTTTTTATTGTGAAAATATACACAACTCAACACACTTGTGGCTAGGTGTGGTCATTTGACTTATAGCCAATGGGATCTGAGCAAAAGTGATGAGTGCGAACTCTAGGTTATGTTCTTAAAAATAAAGCTGCTTGCTTTCCTTTTTTATCTTCCCACTGGTTCAGAAATAGCAAGACAAAGGATCCTTGGACCATGAGTGCAAGCAAAGTGTTCAGAATTCTAATGCCACACTGCCACTTTTTTAACCTCAAGTTATAGTTCAGTACTGGTATATTTCCCAAAATTTGCATTACTCAATTTTATCCAAACACCTTCTTACATATTTTCTCCATGAAACAGGAGACAAAGTTATCTTCCAAGTGAGAAGAAAGGGATTGGAGTAAGATGGTTACGGAGTGGTAAAAAGGCTGCTTGGATCAAAAAGAGCACTGATTAGGGAGACTCATAGAGTGAATACCAGGCAGCACCAAGGCCCAAGTGAGGTCGGAAACTGCCAGTTACGGATTTATTTTTGCCTTTCAGTTTCAAATTTATCCTTAATTACCTGCTGCGTGAAAATGTAGATGGGCCCTTAAAAAATTCTCCTTTAAAGTTGGTGTTATGTCAAGCTTTGTCAGTAGAGGGCTCTGGAGGGACACTGCAGGAGGAAGAAATTTCTTTTCCTGGTTCTGCTTTTTCTTTCTCTTTTTTAAAAAAACCTTTCTCCTCCTGACATGCAGCAATCACCAGCAAATCCGGAAGACATCTAGTGGTGGGTATTCACTCATTGTATTTCAACTGTGCTGCTGTGGGTGAATTCCCATTGAGTCTTGCAGTTGCCCCATTGGTCAGTGTTCCAGCCTCGGCCTGCCAGCAACCCAGAGAGGTGTTTCCTGCTTGACAGCCCTTGACAGAGTTCCCTGTCCACCACCCTTGGCCCATCTGCACCCTGGAGGGGTGTTTCCTTTCTACTCATTGACTGCAGGCCAGCTTTGGGGGCAATCCAGGAGACTTCTCGCCATGCAGTGACCTGCAAGATCTGAATCCCAGCCTTGGTGTTGCTGTGGAAGGGATTCATGTTCTTTCACATCTCTCTCTCGTTCCCATGCATTTGAAGGCAGACCTTATATAGCTCGACTACATTTCTGAAGTTCTCCAGCTTTATTCTGTATTTATGCTAGCGCTCCCACCTGAGGTCCAGGCTCTGCCCTTCTTCCCATGTGAAGTATACTGCCACCTTTTCAAATGTCATTTGAATCCCGCATGTTCATCCACCTTAGGAAACATTTAATATTAAACACCTACCACTGCCCAGGACGGGAGCACTGACTGAGTCTATTGTGTATGCTGTGGTTGGAATGGACAGCCAGGGAGGTGGAGAATGGATAAACAGTTCAGTGCAGTGGGGGTGGCTGGAAGATATGGCTCTGCTTATCCAGGGCCTCTAATGGCAGATGGGAGCCATGTTAGTCTGTCACTGGGAGGGACCAGCCTCTGGTAGCCGAGGCCTCAGAGAATTAGGGGGTACAGTGTGGGCGCATGTCCATGGGCGTGTACTGGGCCTGGATGGTGTGTGAGGAACCAAGACTGACAGACCTGCTGTCAGCCCACTCAGAGCCTGACCTGGCACAGAGCAAGGCAAGAGGCCCGTTCTGCCTCCACAGCTGAGCCAGGCTTCGAGGCTGGGTGTGTCTGGGACAGGGTCAATGTCACTCTGGGAGAACAGACCGCCTATCACCTGGAGATTGATTTCTTGACCACTGCTTCATGGACATTGATTGTTGATCCAAGTAGAATAAAATCACTGATAACTTCAGTTTTTTTCTCCATTTATCATGATGTTGTTTATTGGTGCAGTTGTGAGGATTTTCATTTTCTTCACGTTCAGATGTGATCCATACTGAAAGCTGTAGTCTTTGACCTTCATCAGTAAGTAATTCAAGTCGTCTTCATTTTCAGCAAGAAAGGCTGTGTCATCTGCTTTTCGATGTTAATGAGTCTTCCTCTAACCCTGATGCAGTGTTTTTCGTATAGTTCGGTTTTTCAGATGATTTGTTCAGCATACAGATTGAAGTAGTAATGGGAAAGCATACAACCCTACCACGCACCTTTTCCAATTTTGAACCACATCCCATTTTGAACAATGCATTGTTTTTTTTCTGTTCCAATAACTGACTCTTGATCCATGTACAGGTTCTGCATGAGCACAGTTAAGTGTTCTGAAATTCTCATTCTTCTCAGTGTTATTCATAATTTATGACCCACACAGTCGAATGCCAGAGAGTTCAGCTTCATCAGTCCGAGGCAGGTGTAGCGTGCTTACTTTTTATTATTATTAATCTTTTTATTTGGAAATAGTTGTGGATTCACATGCAGTTGTGAGAGATAATACAGAGAGACTCTGTACCCTTTATCCACTTTCCCTCCAGTCGTATAAATATCCAACCAGGATACTGACATCCAGGTGGTCAAGACACAGAGCGTTTCCAACATTGTGAGGACCGCACATGTTACCCACACCCACCTCTCTCCCACCTCACCCTCACCCCCTCCCTCTCCGGCCGCTGGCAACCACGAATCTCTCCGTTTCTGTAACTGTTCAAGAATGTTTTATAAATGGCATCTGCTGTTGTACGAACTTGGTCTGTCGGGGCTGTGTCTCCAGCTTCGAATGGAATAAATTCTCTCCCTGAGCTGAGGAGAAGTGATCGCTGTGGAACGTCCAGGTGGGGCCCAGGGGTATGTCTCTTGGACTGTAAGGGGACGGTCACCAGCCCAAACGTAAAGTGGCGGCCTGACACCGTGTGTCCTGGGGGAATTTTATCAGCAGAGACGCCAAATTGTTCTAAAGAACCATGTTCTAAAGATGTGGACGATGGGGGTAGGTGAGGGGCCTGAGTGGATGGAAATGGGGGGCACACGAGGTGCTGAAAGTTTCTAGAAGCTGAGCCACGTCCGTTTTAGTGGCCCGCATGCCCAGTGCCCGGGACACGGGGTGCCCAGAGTGGAGACAGCAAGAGCAGCCAGCGTTCTAGAAGTCGGGCGGAGGGAGAGGGTGAGCGGCGGCTAAGGGTGCAGGGCAGGGACTGGGGTTACAAGGGGGCGTTGGGGGCGCGGGGGCGGCTGGGATAGACCCGAGGGTGGGCTGGGCTGGTGGGGCCGGGTCTGGCGGAGTGAGCCAAAGAGTAAGCCTGAGTAGGAGGCCCAACGCCCCTGGAC